CTTCTTCTTCTTCTTCTTTTTCTTCCTTCTTCTTCCTCTTCTTCTTCTTCTTCTTCTTCTTCTTCCTTCTTCTTCCTCTTCTTCTTCTTCTTCTTCTTCACTGCGTACCGTTTCATTATAAATCTACGTAACAACACTCCGAAAGGTACGCTGAAGTGGGAACGGAAAATGAGGGTAGGAGTCACATTATACTCGCACCCAAATTACGAAATAAATGCGTCCGGTGTGTTGCGTATTAACCAGAAGTGGTTTGTCGGCTGGCTTCGCTGCGGCATCCAGGCACGGTGGCGACCGACCCTGAGGATAGAGGGATTTACTATGCGAGGACTAATAAATTCCTATAAGGATGGCTCCCCTTACGGCCAAAGTTCACTTATTTGGAAAACAAACGGCGCCATGGAGCTCGGAATGCGAAATTCCCCCACAATTGACTTCTTTCCGCTGATTTTCGGAAGCTTCTGAGTGAGAGCGTATCTTATTTTAAGATGAGCATTTTTATGAGTGAAGAATGTCCCGGCCCTCACTATGATCCAAACGCCAACGTAAAAGTCGATATCACATCGCCAGCTACATTAAATGCGTGGAGAAATCCCCGGTTTTGTTGACAAAATGTCTCTCAAAGACAGGCATAGCCCGTGGGTAAAGTAGCACTTTAACGTCCACAATTATGTTCGATAGGCCTTGTCTGAAAATCGACGATCCACACCGCCTCCTTATCCCTTTTATTCGACACTATCCTACAACGACATTTCAATACTTTCAAGCAATTTGCAGGTCGGATTATAGATGACGTTGCTCATCCATTGCATTCTGATCTTGTACGAAGTCTTTCCACCCGATGCGCCGCAGTTTCCGACTTATGTCTTGTCGCACATCAGCTTTTCGGGCTTCTGTACAGCCATTCCTGGCGCGCTATCTTACGTGCGAAGAGATAGAAATACAGAAGCTAAGACTTGAACTGTCCTCATAATAATCGTTCCTTTTGTTTTAAACGTTTGGACTCGTGAATAATCTATTAACTTATTTACTGCCCATAGTGAATGGAGCCAATTTTTTGCTGGAAATTTTGAATGTATGTTTTCAAAATAAGGCGAATTCCTCTATCTCTCTCTCTCTCTCTCTCACACTTCCTACAGACTAGGCCTTAGAATTGGAAAACCACACCGCACACCCTGTCGTCCTCCAGTTCTCTCCGATGCGTGACCTCATCATCTAGCTCCACCTAGATGAGAAAAAGTACACGTTGTCTACACCTGTCGAATAGTTTAGATTCTACTTCAGTGTTTACACAGATGGCCGCAGGCATAGGAAGGACGCGCAACCTCACGCAGAGGCGGTGCAGCTAACAGGCCCGACCAGCGGGTGGCATACCAAATGTGAAGTGAGTTCACTAACGACATACCCCGTGAGAACCATGGGGACGTGCGTGTCCGAGGCGCCAACTCCGGGATCCGACGGGCCAGATTCCCTGGGCAGCTGGCATTGCATACCGATGAGGTGGCAAATTTCAAACAGGGGAAATTGTGACTGGGATAGATTGCCAACAAAGGAGAGACTGGAATACCCGCTTCTGACCAGCAGTGGGCCTCTGAAACCGCACCATGCCCCGACCGTACGCCAGGAAGATGTGAACTGTACATCCGGATCCATTTAGTCGAGAGTTTTAATGCTCTGGCGTCTGAGCTACGTCATACTGGATGCGACTAGGAGGACTGACAGTCGCACAGCTGCCGTCAAACGATCGAGTCCGATCAGAGACCGGAGGGCGCTCCCCCCCTAGAGTTCACACAGGCGCTCGCAACTTGGAGAACAGAGGAGAAGCGGAAAACGAGGCAACTAAAAACAGTTGATAATGCTCCGACTAATTCTGCATTTTGCGTGGTTATCTCGGGGATACCTTCATTTAAGTATGGCCGGCTGACAACAGCTGACAAACAAAGTGGACACCCCAGTCTCCCTTGTCTTTCTCCGGTACTCTTTCTTGCATATACGGCTGGTCACTATGACACGGCCTGTGAGGATTGAGCCCCAAGGGGCAAATGGGCGAGGTCTGGTTCTGCGGCCCCACTTGATTGATAGCAAATGGTTAGCTTATTAAAACAATACTCATTAACAGACCCAATTTAGCCACTCGCTGGATTTGGAAGGGAAAGAGAGCGTAAGCAGAGCCCGGAGCAGGCGTAAGGACGCGGCACGGCTACCCGGTGGATTATTTTAATCACAAATGGAAGGCCATGGGGGACCACGTGGTAACTCGCAGTGCATTGTAGTGAAACCGATGGGGTTAGAGTCCGTCCGAGCAATTCCATTAGCAAGTCTACTTGGCTACTCACTAGAGGGTGCAAGCAGGACTCGAAGCACGCACAGGAAAGCGAGTATGAACTGATATCTGAAGTACGCGGGGCCGGCATGCAAGCACTCATTCTCCCGTGGCACAGTCACTCGCTGGATTAAAATGGTGTAAATACGTGATATTTGTAAAGCCAGACTACTCGCATCTACGAAGCCTATTTTAGGAAGCAAATAATACGGTTTCAATCAAGTGGGGCTGCATAACCAAACCTCGCCGGCATACGGGAGATCAGGTATCGTGGAAAATTCGACAGGACAACGGGTCCGCGACTGAACAGTAGAGCGTCCGGCCCGACGCTCAACGACCGGAGAACCCCTGGCTACCCCAACCTGAGATTGGGCATGACGGACTGACCACAACTAATGGCCATGCCAACCTTCCCTGCCTTTGTCGGTGTTCGTCTTTATTTCTGTCGGTGGTAACGATAAGGCGCAGGATCCCGAAGTAAATGGCAACTCCGAAAATATACACTAAAATTTATCTGCGAATGTCTCTGATGATGGATTCGAGTGAGAATCCGAAACGTCAGGCAAATAAATTTCTTGTTCCAGTGATCGCACCTTCATTTTCTGTGACTGTAAACATCACTTATTATTTACCGTTGCGATTGTTTAGCATCTCCTACCCCTCCTGACTAAATGTAAGCCTACGAGCAGCGCTTAATTCAAAGTCCGTTATATTTTTGAAAATAAACTTTTGTTTCGCCAAATGACAGCGTACGATGAGACTTTCGGCAGAAGTTTATCCACTTTCTGGGTCTTCTTGCCCTCCGTCCTGTTTGTTGTCCTACCCGTAAAATCCCCTTCTACCACCATTCAGCGTATGATACGGTCCGCCTGTCTAGCTTAAGTTATTTGGGGGGTCCTACACCCTACTGCTGCCCTGTCCGTTTCTGGCCCCTGCTGTTATGGCTGTTGCAGCTCACTGTTCTGTCTGGTGTTCGTCCTTAACTTCTTTACAGAAATTAGCAGTGAAAGTTCCTCAGCGGTCATCTTCAGTTAGATACAGATTCACAGAGCAGGACACTAAAATACCCAGGCATCTGTGAGCTTCCAAGCAAATCCTATGTCCAGATCTGGACTTTGACGTGTGCGAATTAGCACGGAGGAAGTTGAATCACATGTACTTTAGATAAATAACACGCACCAGCAGCCGGGACACGGGCCATGGGGGAGGGGGGGGGAGGAGAGAGGGAGGCGAAAGCAGGATGGGGAATAAAAAACGAAATCCACTGAGGGAGGTAGGGGATCACACTGTAAATAAGTATGATTAGATGGATGTGTATGCGTGATGCTTAAGTTGTCCATTATAGTGCAGCGAGATGTAAGGAAAGGGGGGAGGGGGGAGTATGTACGTGGATGCGGAGAAGTCGGTCAGCGGGAGTTAGAAACGAAGTACTCAAAGTAAGTACAAATGAAAGGCAGGAATCATGACAGGCCTCAGGGACCACGAAGAGGACGCATACCAGAAATCTGAAAGGGAACAAAAACAGGGACGGGTAAGAAGGCGGCTGCCCAGCTGGTTTATCACAAAACTGATTTAAAAAGGCAGCAAATTGAAACCGGAGGTGAATCAAAAATCCAATAGGCACAAAGGTGACCTCGACCGCCGGACCTGTTCGACGAAGTTTCTGACTCAGCGTAATGACAAAGAGGAAGCTGTATATGCTGCGTGTTGTGTGCGGCATATGGCGTGTAGGCTGGTAGCTTGGACAGCTGAATGTCCATTTTCAACTTCCAAGCGACCAACCAGTATCATCTTTACTGAGTCAGACGACGGGAAAGTCACAAAACCAGGGAAAATTAGTTTTGTGCGACGCAGTCGGAACGCAGAGCTCACCTACCTTCTCGAACTGCTAAGTTTTAACAGACACTTCATTCAAACTAAAAGAAGATGGCCTCGCCAGTTAGGAAAAGGAGGATGGTGAATAAATCTCATAGCTGGCAGAGGAAGCTGTGATACATTTGGCATAGAAAGCCTGGCGTGATGTCGGCGGTTCGAATCTGTCCCTGAGCAAATACCTTCTGGCTGCGTAGGTTTCCTAAAGTGCTCTAAAGGAAGTACGGCGGGTGACGTATCACATGAAAAGTTAAATGGAATTCCGACTAAAGTGCATTGTTTCGGGGCTTATTAAGCAGCAAATTCGCAAGATATTTCAGTCACGCCAGGATGCCCGCTGTTGGATGCACGACTGTCCGCCTACCTGCCAGAATCACACTCCTTCAAGTGACTGCTTAAGTAGTATAACTTTTCATCACTTATGCCAGACATAAATCCTGACGTCTTCCAGAAGATATGCATAAAAACATCGCTTCTTGCAGATATTTGGCAGCAAACTAAGTTTTGTTCAAAGCGCGCGCTTGAGGAGAGTGTGGTTCTACAACTTAAAAAAGCACGCGGTCAAAAAGGCGTCGTATCTGTTGTTCTATACGAAGTACATAACGTGAGTGCTATACAACAGCTTCTTGGTAGCAGAGATGAGGGTTTAACTTTCCGTAGAAGACGACAGGAACGGGAATAGACACGAATTCTAGGAAGAGTACCCATTTCCGTGTCCTAGCGAAAGGAATGCTGCGTGTAATTTGGAAACTTGAGTGCAATGACAGATCGGGTTCAAAGTCGTCCGGGACTCGAAGGCGTTTTAAAAAATTGCGAGACAGCCTTCCTTCGAGTACAACATTTGAAGGGGGGGGGGGGGGAAAGGGGGGGAACGCAACCGGTTACAGAAGAGTGCAAGAAAGGGTGCTTTTGCAATGGCTTTTAAAAAGTATGTCTGGATTTATAAGGGCATCAAAAATAACTGGAGCGAATGCATACCATTCAAGGAGTCATTTCAGCGAGTGTGACTTGTGCGGATTGGCGGAAAGGCGTGCATTCAAAAGTCGGCACCTTATGCTCCATGATCATCAATAACACGACCCCACCTTAGTGAGAATCTTTTAGGATTTTAATTAATGGTCCACGAGACACGCAGCCTACTGCACGTCGGCTAGTTCATGTCTTTTGTCGACGTAACATGGCCTAGGGGATACGGTGGGCGTGCAACAAGCGCACGCTTTATAAATTTCAGATGGGAACCTCTCATAGCATCTACGACAGTCCGACGATGTCCACTGTGTGCCTCACAACAGAAGTGGCGGAGGAAAGGTGACATGCGCGTGAATTAATCTGTAATGATAGAAGAATTACGCTTCATCTGTCGCACTACCTCCACTCTCACCTCCTTGGGCTCAGTGTTAAGAAGACCGAAGGCGAGGTCGGGTACACGTGACTGGTGCGCCGTGTGCTTGCACCTAGGCGCGTCATCCTACCCGTTCATTTATGGCATTTGCCATGGGTTTGCAGTTCAATAACGCGTTCTGAACTCTGTTCTGGCCCCCTGTTGATCCAGCGCACAAACATAGACCCGGAAACGCATTTTCCACAGCACATTTCAATTCAACTGGGGTACAACAAGGGAGTCGAACTCCGAACTAATCGCACCTCTTGACATGGCGCCTTTTATTAAGAGCTGGCAAAATGACATCGCGTGTGTTGAAAGTATATGGCTTACTCTTACGTTTACAATCAAATTACCATCAAATGATAAGCAATAAAGGTGGGTGGAAAGGCTTAATGAGATGTCATAACGCGACCAAAATATCCTATATTTCAAACAGTAATGTGTGCAAAAAGAACGGCTTACGACGGAACGATTATGAATTAGGCGGTCGGATGTGGTTGGTAGCCCCACCTGAAGTAAACAAACCGCAGCCACCTGTATTATGGGGTCGGTGGTAATGGGGGGTTTTTTACAGGTGAGACCGAGGAACGCACAGGCGACGAGTTCAAGTAGCTGTATGCAAACGGAAAGCTATCGGGAATGCGCGGTTGTACTTTGAGTGGTTGAGAAATAGTTGCCCTAACCCCTAACCCCAACATTATTATGTCCATCACGTGGGGCTACATTACCACATCTTTTGACACTTGACGAAAGCAATGACGAACGGCAAAGGTGTATACTACTAACTTAGTCCTTTCATAGGAACCAATCTAGTCAGAAATGGCTGGGAGAAAGTTGTCAGTTGAAAGGCAACAGAACAGAGCGTGCTCGATGCTATTCTGAGGAAGCACTGCCTTATTTGCTATCGTCAGCCGGTCCTGGTACAAAGGCAGACTTTGGAATCGGAGTTCAGCCAACACCTTATTCAGTTGAGTCACAGATTCAGGCTTCCCAGTTTACGGCCAAGACTATTCAGAGCGGAGGAAGTTCCAGAATTCCAGGAAACATTGCCGGGGTCTCGGCCCGCCTTAAAGGTCTGGAGTGGAAAGCTCACGGGCGTTTACTGCAAATGTGCAAATGATACTTCCACAAAGCTGTCGGGCAGCAAGTCCCAATACGCAGTAAAAGCGATGCAATACAGACAGGTCTTAAACTCACAAACACAATCCGCGCTTCCTTCCCTTTGCTGCAGGCAGGTCCGCTCAAGGACAGCACTTCCAGGAGTCAGAGGAATCATCACCTCGACAGCAATTTTGACCCCGAAGGCAGAAAGTCACCTGATCCGGACAGACATGGAGTTCATCGGCTCGGGGTTGAGATTCCCCCGGAAGGTTCCAGGGCAGGGTTTCGGAGGAGTCGAGGACGCAGGCATGTTTGCCGCAAAGGTACCCGCGAGGACAGCAGTGTCCACCATCTGCGCAGCACTGACCCTGTCAGGTGGAAGAAAACGGGATCAAGTAAGTGTATCTGTGATGAAAAACTAAAACGGAGGAAAGGCAGAAACTATTAATGTCCGGACGACGGACAACGCGACTTGGCCGTCGATTTCGACAATGTCAGCCGTGTGCCCCACTGCATGGTGGGCGCAGAGGCGGGGGTTTGCGCCTGCATTAGTTTGTGATAGCAGACTTCCGATGCATCTCTCTCTCCCTCTTCCCCTCACCCTCCTGGATCTGGTGTCAAGACAGTGTTAAGAAAACCGAAGTTGAGGCCGAGTGCAAATAGCTGGTGCGGCGTGAGCCTTCGCATAGGCGTGCCACCACAACCGCCTATGTATGGCATTTGTCGCGGGTGTGGGTGGCTCAATAACGCGTGTCGGGCCCTGTTTTGGTCCTCGTACTTGTCCGCCGCAATTCCTGCGTGGCCAGTTGTGAGGGACATGGACATAATACATCCTATAACTACGTTACGTAGGTGAAAGCCGCTCCCCTCCTAGAACTACAGTAGGTGGGCTAACTCAAGAAATGTCCACCAAAGTGCGTTCTCGTTTCGAAAAGACTACTTAAGAAGAGTTGTAAAGCTAACCATCGTGCTGCGTAATTCTATAATAATTCAGTGACCTCAGGATGCCGGCCTTAGAACGAACTTCCTGCCGGCTGCATGAAAAAAGCATACTCGGTAAAAATGACTACTTAAGTGGCATGCATGTTTCTTATTGATTTTCGATGCCCTTAAAAATTCAATTATATTTCACGGAAAGCATGCATAAAAATATTCATTCTTTAACTTATTCGGTAGAAAATCACGTCTTCTTCCGATCTTATACTCGAAGGAAGGGCATAATTCGGTTTTAAAAAAGTTTCTTATTGTGAGATTTTTTCAATACCGTGAAATGACCGTTCATAAAACGTCATGTCTCTGCATTTACCAATGTGACTTGTAAAGTTAACAATATGCCTGAAATCTACTGCTAAATGTTATGAACCTCATATCGTCTCCTCTTAATACAATGGAGAAATGTATGGTTTCCCGTACGCGGAAAATATATGGCTTGTAGTTTGGAAACCCTGAATGCAAGTGTGAAGGCCGAGCGAGTTCAACATTATTCGGGAATTGGAAAAGTTTTTGAAAACCGAATTATACCCTTCCCTTGAGTAAAAAATTGGAAAAAGACGTGATTCTCTACAGAATGAGCAAAAGAATTAATATTTTTATGCATGTTTTCCATGAAATAATTGAATTTTTTTAAAGGCATCGAAAATCAATGAGAAACATGCATGCAACATAAGTAGTAATGTTTTACAGGGCATAGTTTCTGCATTTTGTCGGAAAGAAGTTCGTTCGAAAGCCGGCATCTTGAGGTTACTGAATTATTATAGAATTACGCTGCATGATAGTTGGTTTTACAACCCTTCTTAAGTAGTCTTTTCGAAACGAGAACGCATTTCGGAATTTCGATTGACATTTCATGAGTTAGCCAACCTACTGTACGTTACGTAGGTGAAAGCCGCTCCCCTCACAGCCAGTAGGGTTTGGACTCGTGGATCCACTTGTAGAGCATCTGATTCCGATTCCGTGTGACCAAATGACGCGGAATCAAATCTCAGTCTAGGTCAATTAGTCGGAAGTAGCCATTACTGTCACCCTCTTCTGTTGCAGTAACGCAAACGGCAGAACACAGAGTTAGTCCCTAAACAGCACAGAGGCTACTTGAACAAGAGAGCCGTTGATCGAGCACCGGTTCTAACAATCGGCCTGTGGAGCGTTCCTGGTGCAGCGCGCCTTGCGTCATTTGCGGACAGGGCTTGGGATGACGAAAGTGCCGATCATGACAGACCCCAACAAATGCGGGCGGGGGGGGGGCAGGCTGTGGTTGCCCGGCAGTTCCCGATGTTCACCGGGTGCTCCACTGCGGGGGGTGCGGACAAGGACGGTGACTTGCGCGTGAATTAGGTTTGTAGTGATAGTAGACTTGCGCTGCATCTACCACACTCCCTACTCGCCCGCCTGCAGTCTGTGTCAAAAGGGAGTCAAGAAGACCGGAGGCGGCAGCGGGTGAAAGTGGCTTACAGGGCGAAAACCCGCACCTAGACGTACCACTACACCCCTCGGTCCACAACGGACACTGACCTGGGCTTGACAACACGAAAGGGGGGGGGGGGGCGACAGCTCGGATCCCGATTGGCGCGACGTGAGCATGCAAGTGGGCTTGCCACCGGACTCTGATGCAGCCACCGTGTTGGTTAACCTCATCTACCTCGTGACCACAGGTGGCTAGACGGAAGGATGGTCCCCTGGTGGACGTCTGCGCCTATGCCCACGGCATCAGAGTTAGGTTGCGGGATTGTGTCGGAGTATGGCTGACAAAGCCTCCACCTGCTAGTTGTGGCGAACGTAAGTTGCCATGTTCTAATACCGCTATGGTTTGAGACCTTTTGTAGATAGCTGATCTGCCACCGAATTTCCTTGTGTATAATGCGGACTCTCAACCCAAATTATACAAATTCACCACAAGGTAACGCAGTACTCAGTAGGCAGTGTGCGCGTACTGTTGAGATTGGTCAGTTAATAGAGCAGATCTGGTGCAGTCTTAGCGGCCAGAGGGAAAATGCTTCAAATGTACACCAGCGTCGTTTTGCATTCCTAGAAAAACTACAGAAAGTGATCGTGGTTCTTTTTCGGTTAATTGCACGTCGGCGCGATAAGTGAGTTAAAAAAGCATGATATCGAGTTTTTTCGAAAATGTAAACAATATAAGATGTTGTCAAGATTTTCAGTATACGGGCAGAAGGCCAACCAGAAGATGTCCAGGCAAATCTTCCTAGTACTGGAACAAAAAGGGCATTTTGAGGAACACCTACTACTACTACTACTACTACTACTACTACTACTACTACTACTACTACTACTACTACTACTACTACTACTACTACTAC